TCATATTTCTGACTTGGTACAGGCATTTTCTTATGTAGAAAATGGTGGATTAAACCTGGTTTTACAGCTAGCTAAACCTCTCACTTGTATGAGAGTCGCATCAAATTCAATTATATTAAACTGAAAGCTAGTTGAAAGCCAAAAACAATTAATAATAAAGCATCATGCATCAGAGACTATATGTATGATAACTAAAAAAACGCAACTACCCACCTTTATTTGTATTTAAGAGTATTAATCATTGAATAAAAAGGAGATATACCAAGTAGACAATCGCAGCGTTTGTACTGAGAGAATAGCGTACCCTCATGAGCGAAACTTGTTGATAGTTGTCCATTCAATGTAGCTGAACGTCGTATAGTAAGAGAGAAAATCAATTACATTTAAATGCAGTTCATCGAATGAGTTAACATAGGGTTGTAAACGTTTAATTCATAATTTAAAAATCTCTTTACTCAATTGCAAAGGGTTTTGAAATATACATTATCAGTCAACTCCAGCATGTCCTTGGTAAAGTCAAAAAGGACGAAGTCTATAAACCTGACAAAAAAAAGAGAGGCTAAGGATCCCAAAGGGACATTCAAGCTCATAAGTCAAAAATAAACTGACAACACAAAACGCTCGACTATATTAACGAACATGACGAATGGACAATAACTGTGAAAGCAGGTTTAATATTTTTGTTTTTTCACTTGAATTATCTTACATTTTGTCATTTCGTGACAGTTCATATCTTACTATAAGGTACAGGTGTTAGGCATTTATAAAGGCCGTAGGGTGACCTATAGTTGATTTCATCTACGTCATGACGTCTCTGGTGGATGTTTTTTTTCATCATTATCAAGACATCGATTTTTTTTATCCTTTAAATTTCAAATTAGAAGATAACTGTATTGTATTTAAACTTAACCTTCGTAAAACGTACATTTTACTGTCGCAAATTGAATTTTTCTAGCGACGCGTAAGTTATAAAGGCAAAGCTTAAAATACAATACAATTATTTCCATACTAATGCCACATATTAAGATAAATCCCATGTTGGAAAATAATTTGGCTATAAAGTGCCATGAAATAAAAAGTCTGCAAAACTTTGGCATTTAAACAATGTGACATCATAGGTATACTTCCGATGTAAAACATAAACAATAGACGTATTCATACTTTTCGCACGCTACACAATGGTTTGAACTTTGACAAATAGAAGATTTTAAGGCACACAATCTTTTTTTTTTTATATTTTGAGAAATTAAATGCCTAAAAAATTCGGAATTCAGAATGGTGGCTTTCCTTAGTTATGGATTGGTAGAACACCAAATCTAACTCTTCAAAATATTTGTCAAGGTACAATGAACATCATCGTTCTAAACGAATCGCATTAGAATAAAAAGTCTAATCTGTAGATTTAAGTTCTGTCGGACACTTATTTCTATTTGTTTATTTGTATTCACGTTAATTTGGTCAGCTCTCGTTCAATACTCGTTGAAACATATTTTGTAAGATATCCTCGTACAAATCATGACACATTAAATGTCCCAAACCGATTACAATTGTAACATTGACTTTAAAAATGGAAAGTTTTGTTTCAACATTATCCTAACAATTTACGGGAGTTTATTTTCATATATTTGATCCTATCTTACTTTTCACTTTAAACACCTCTTAAACATACACACATTTTAAGTGGACACTTAAGGCAGTTAAATAGTTATCATCTTTTGAGTAATATTCGACTAAATTTTTTTCAGTCAATTGGATCTTTAGAAGTGGTATATTCATATCACGTCAATGCATTTAACGATATATCTTTATACATTTTAGAATGAAAATCATAGTATTATCACTTGTAAGGAAATTTGGAAATTTAATTAAATGTAAGACTGACCATGCATCGAAAATATTAATAAAATATTTTAACTGATCACACAACATCAAAATAAACCTAAAACAAAATTTTATCATAGACATTCTTAACTTTATTCATTAACCTTTTTTTGTATCCTTTATTTGTTTATTGAATGTATCATTTGATCATAACAATTCATTTAATGTACATTACCCAAATATCAAAATTTATACGAACAGGCGTCATTGATGACTTATTGGTATATCACCACAAAAAATAACAAAAACTGATTTTGTTTGGCTAATGAATTGTCTTTGCAACATTTGATCACAATGCATAAGATAAAACAAGTACAATTAATGGACCTATGCAAGTACACATTTTAAGGTTTTCTCGAATTTAGTGACTCAGCATTTTGTTTTGGGGCATTGAAAAGGGAGCTCATGACTTTCAAATAATGAAAGATAGCACAACATGGACAAAAAAGCGAATAATTCATATCTAAAATGTTATAACGATAAACTGATTGTAATAAAGCCCTTGGCCCCTCTGTAAACGTCATGGCGTAATTTGCCACAAAGTGCAACGAAATCATACATATTATTGCTGTGAAAGACATATCGGGTATATCTACAATCCATCCATCCACCTATCCATTATAAAAGGTAAACTGTATCAGTAGACAGTAGACGTCAGTAACGTGGAGCATTTGTTAATTATAATTTTATAATAATGTCTCTTATGGTAGTAACCTGTTGTCTATTTCTTGCATGAAGAGATATTTCGAAAAAGTGATACAAAAATGCGATAATTTCATTAGCTTATCTAGTTTCATGGGATGATATAACGACATTTCCATTTGCTATTCGTTGGGTCATTTAATACTTTAAAAGGTTAGGACGATGTTCATTTCGTTCACGTTTCTACAACATTTGATTTTTTGTATACATGTAAATAATTATAGAAACGTGATTTTTTTTGGAAATAGGGATTAATAAAACTTACCAACCAATAGAGTAACAGTGAGTCCAGCTCAAACTAACTTTTAAAATTTGACGGATTGATTATTGAAAAAAACTGAGTCAAAATTTGAAGAAAAAAAATCACCAAAGAGCACTAATATACAAAACAGTGATCAACAACGAAACTTGTTTTCGGTAGTTTAAAATTATCAACAATATTATCGCTGGTCTGGGACTTAATATTACTATTCCCATCAATGATGGACAAATACACTACATAATCTTGAAATTATGCACAACACCGTGCTGTAAATTGCTGATACGTCAATAGAAAAAAGTATAATCTTTAAATTAAGCCCAACAAGTAAAATGTAAATGAGGTTAAGGTCTGATAAACCTTGCAAGACAGACATGTACACTTTACAATCATACCATACACTTAATATTGTTAGTCTATTGCTTAAATATGGTATCCGATAAACATTTATTGAATGTAGTGCAAAAATCAGCTTCTCTAGGTAATGGTGACGAATGCTCTTTGGGTGGTATAACGGATAGCTGTCTAAAAAAAAATATGTGGTGCTAGTTGGAGTTGGTGTCTTCATCATGTTGAATAATCAGTCGTACTCACTTTAATTGGGGAGTAAACTAAAGATGAGTTGATACATGGCTTCCTAGACCATTCCTTGTATTGTGTAGAGTTGAACATACTGAGAATTGCACTCTTCATTGGGTTATTGGGAATTTCTCCAAGAAAAACTGTAGTTGTGATATTTATGAGAAAGAAAAATGTAACAACTTAATAACTTTGATATAATCATATACTGGAAATAGTTTTAGCAAGGGGAGGGAGTGGTCCAGTCTCCCCTTGTGGAGCTTCATGTATGGTTGATGCATAGACTTTTAGATGTCCCACTCCAATCGGTGCTTCCTTTGGGACCCCTGGTCCCCCTTTGTCAAAATTCTGGATCCTCATCTGTTTAGGATTAATTTTTTACTAGAACTAAACTTTGCATTAACATATTCAAACTAAGTGCTTAAGTACTTTTTCTGAAAGTACGGTTGGTTGCGACTCATCTGGATCTTGTTAGTAATTCCATACAATTAAATATGAAATTACTTACAAGAACCAGATGGGGGCAACCAGCCATACACTTACAGAAATGTTTATCTTCGATTGGATTAAAAACTGGTAATGGTTGTGAAATTCAACTAAAAAAATGTTTAAATAACATTCAAACTCAGGCAAAATGAGATCGGATTCTTTGAAATCCTTACCGGGCCAAGCAACAATGGGTGATCCACCTTATAAAATAAGAAAATAGAGTTCAACAGGAGATGCAGAACTATACTGTTATTTTTTAATGTAACTCTAAAATTTTCAAACGAAAACCTTTTTCAAGCTGTCATGAATATTTTTGTTTGATATTAATCAAAAGTGGAACAGTATGAAAAGAATTTCTATAAAAATATCTCGTTTATTTTAGATTTTTCTGAATTCATTTATTATTTTACATCTTTTATTAAAAAGTCTAATATGAAACATGTACTATACATTGTATAAAGGTCTCACCATAACTTCCTAAATACAACAATTTTAATTGCTGTCTAAAAACAAAGCCCATTAAGTGTTTGACACTTGTTGGATAAACGTGAGATGGATTTTTCGAATGTTGGAGTAATGTGAAAAAAAAACAATTTGATATCGATCAATATGAACGCTCTTTATCTAATTGTTATAGCAATTACACCAAAACATTGTGATTGGTTTAAAACGTACTAAACAATGGAAATTCAACCAATGACGTAACGTTATTTTCATTTTGGTGAGATCACCCATAGTCCTTTTGGATTTCAAAGAGGCAAATTGTCGAGATTCGGTAAAATTTTATGTAACGGAAAAGACATAAAATCTCTTCATGCACTTGAAAAATACAAAGTTAAGGAACATTGTATTCGGAGTTCAGTATTTTTGTGATTTTACTTTTTGTTTGTATTGCTATCCTTATCCCGAAGTCACATCAAGACCCCCGAAGCAAAACTACACACCTCCACGCAAGGCTAAAACGAGCCCTTATCGCAAATTTCGTCAGAGTATGCTAGATGTCAACCCCGCTTGATTGTTGCGCTGAAAAAGATTGACACGGTATAATATCATCTATTTACAGACTTTTATCAGGCAAAGAATCAACAAATAGTGTTAGATTATTTATTCTTGCATGCATATATTTGCATCTTGATTATAAAACTGTTATGTATTGCTCGCTTTGAAAGTTTTGAGTGTTTTGAATTTGTTGGACTCTTATATTCTTCTTGCATCTTCTTTTGCTGCGGTAAATTAAACGTACAACACCAACTGTCACTATTAATGTTACTAATCCTGCACATATAATATAAATAAGAACAGCCTTGATCTGCATACCTAAAATAACGAATATTCTATAAGATTTACAAACAGTTTATCTATTAATAAATCAGAAAACAAAAAGATGTGCTATACCTGAAAATAATTTGTTTGAAAATTATAACATTGAAAGGTTTAGTATCTTAGTTTTCTCTATGAAGCTTTGCAAGTAACGCATTACGATATCATCCTGAATATGTATAAAATATTTGCACACGACCTAAAGCAAAGTTTTAAAATGTAGGGTTTTAACTACGTTGGCTACCCTACATTTGTATTTGTATGACAAAAATACAAAACAATCGTGTGCATAAATTGAGAATTGAGGTATGTGTCAGTGTGAAGCAACCATAAGACAAAAAAATCAGTTTTAGTATAATTTAAAATGAATAGAATTTATCGACTAAAAATGTATATAGTCAAAATGAACGTAGCATTTATTTCTGTCAAAACCGAGAGCATTATTTTGTTATCCTCCGTTCACAATAGTCAACAGGGAACGGTACCATTCAAGTGGTAGTAATATAAATAAATATATAATACTGATTTATGTGTGTATATAATTCTATCCTTATCTTATTGTATTTTTATTAAGATCTTGTTGAAAAAGAACTTCGTGCTCGTAAGGTGTTAGATAAAGAATTGGAAAAAATACTGTGAACATAAAGTTGTGAAAATTAACAGTTCTGAGAAACACAATAAAACTTACCTTCCAGTGTGTCATTTTTTGGACTTTGAACTGTTGTCTTTGGGTATGTCAATGGTAACGAACTTGCTAGTAATAAGTAAAAAATCGGTTAATGTTTGGAGAAGTTAATTTTAATTTTCATGAAGTTGTATAGCTAGCATTGTTAATTTTTTTTAAGGCTTAAATTTTTTTCAAGTTCATTTTAAATTCATCTCTTTGAAAAGTGGTTATTGTTGGGTTTTTTTATCATTGATATTTTTTTTTTTTTTTTTGCTTTTTAGTTTGAGTGCTTAGGTTCTTTGTTATTCTATTCGATTATCTGTTTCCTGATTTGCCTATTTTACTTTTCTAACGTTCGATAAAAGGAGAGTGATATAAATGTATAATATATGAGATTGCAACTTAATATTGGTAAACCAAAAATAAAAATATAGAGTTTTGGAAATATTTGTGTGCGTTGTGTAAGTTTCTCTTCTGCTATAAATACATTTTAGACATTTGAATTTTATGTCGAGCTGCATTAATTTACCTTCACTTTGGTATACATATTCAGAAATATGACTAGATGTGCTCAAATACATCACGCATCCTATCACATTATCACACCTTTAGTGAAAAGAAAAGAACACAACATTTTTAACAGAAATCTGTATAAAACATACAATATCGACAAACGATGCAGTGGCGGATCCAGGGGGGAGGGGGTTGGAACCCCCCCCCCCCCCCCCATCCCCTTTTTTTTACGATCAATGCATTTGAATGGGGACATATAGTTGGAACCCCCCTTTTATCTTGGGTTGGGAACCCCCCCCCCCCCCCCCCCCTTTTAAAAATGGCTGGATCCGCCCCTGCGATGTCATTTATTATGTTATGCATACTACATCTCCCCTTTTTCATTTAATAATTATTAATCATAATAACAAGCAAACTGTCAACAAGTATAGGTTTTTGAATTAATGTCACTTAACCAAGGAGCTTAGTAACTCATTGAACCATCTTATCATTCCGACTTACGTCTGACAAATTTAGTTGCAATCATAGAATAGACTATTTGATATCACAGAAAAAATAAGGACTTGGTGTGAACTATTGTGGAAATGAGATGTGGTATGATTTCCAATGAGACAACTATATCATCCACAAATGACGTAGATGACAGCAATCATACTATTAGGTTCTTTACGGCCTGCAACAATGAGAAAAAATCCATACCGTATAGTCCGCTATAAAAGGCCCATGCATGAAAAATAGGAAACAAGAAAACAAGAAAACTAACGGACTAATTTATATTAATTTAAGGATGTACATAGGTTAGGTTTAGGAATTTTTGTCATATATTCGGACTCCTTGGGTTTTTTCCTACGATACAGGGTAAAATATTTTGCCCCATATCTCCCTCTTTTCTTTTCAGAGAAGACTTCAACAGCTCATAAAAGGGTCATTACCAAAATTTAAGCCGATTCTAGATTTTTTATCTTACGATTTGAGACCCAAATAATGCCAATGCTAAATATAAGGTAAAAGTCCGAGTCAGCCTTTTCCCGCCATTTTAAATAAATCAAATATCTCAAAAAGGAGTTCCGTAACCTATCAATATTTTTAGTTTATTTTGTTCCTTAACTAATCCTCTTCTGACATATAGTATCAATTTTAAATTCTAGATTTTTTTAATTTCACCTTACTACATCCTTCATTTACGAAAAACAAATATGACAGACATGAACCTACGACAATCACTAAATTACGGGCTCCTGATTTGGGGCAGGCACATAAAGAATATAGTGGGTTCAAACATGTTCTAAGCGTTTAAACCTCCCATTGACCTGGGACAGTGGCGTAACAGCACCACATAAGTACAAACTGTAAATACAGTTGCAATTGTATAGCATGTGGTTGCTACCACCTAATAGGTATTATAGAAGGGTACTATGCATTGTTGTTGATCTTCATGTTTTATACAGTTACATGTACCTCTGTGTTTCTGTACATTTGCATTTCTCTGTACATCGTTGTCCGTACGAATTGTCTTGGCATGGTTTGCAAGGTTTATTTTTTGTAGATGTTAATCCAGTTTGGCATTCTGGTAAATTAAAAATATAATACGATAAATGTAATTTAAGAAAATGATGCACACAAAAAATATGAATAGTGAATCTGAATATGTCTTGATGCAATGCTCTTGAAACTGAACTGTTCCTCGCGAAATTACCAACAATTTCTGGTTGTTTACCATGTTGTACAAACAGTTTCATCAAATTTTTGAATTGTTTATAAATAGGGAAAACACCAGTGTATCTTAAAACTTACCCACACACTTTCCGTCGCTGTGTTCGTAATTGGCACAACAAAAGAAATCAATATCGTGTATAGGTGAGATGTGTCCTCTGTAAAATAAAAGAAATTAAAAAAAAAAAGAAACAGCAAATACTGTATTGAAAGAACAATGAAACTGAACTCCCTGTATGATAAACAAATAAAACATTTCCGTTGTTCAAATAAGGGCGTTTGATTACATCTTACATTAGGTTCACAATATTCTTCTTTTTGTAAAACACTTTTCTTCATGTATGATGTGAGTTTGTTTCTTTCCCAATGGCTTCCCATTGTTTGGTGATTTTTCTAAGACACAATATCTAAGCATTCATTAGTAAATTTAATAAATATGATAATAATGCAATGTTCGTGACAAATCGAGAACATCGGAGGCGGTTTTATTTAGATATAGCAATCTCGTTGTCTTCAAAGTGCTTATGACAGATATCTCAGTCTCTATTAGAATGGATAGCAACATTTCTAGATTCAATGAGGTTTAGAGCTGTATTATCCTGAATTGGAACTTCGTATTTTTTTTCAGAACGTATGTTGATCTCTATGCTAAAATTTGTTTGGAGTTATTAATTTCCCGTTTTCACGTTGAAAGATCTATACGATTGGACATTGTTGTGGTTCACGCGTACCTACTAAAATTTATAAGATTCAAAATATTCTAATGTTCAATACACATGTCAAATCGATTCAAAATCAATTAATCAATTGCAATTGTAGAAAATCATTCAACAAATAATGAATAAATTAACTAAATAAATACCTACTTCGCGGACTGTGACATGGTCTGCTTACTAACTACTCGTCAGAAGTAGTTCTGACCAATGGAGCGTAATTATAAAAAACAACTATCATAAAAGTACATGCATATGTACATTTAGAATATAGCAAAGTGCTCTCGACCAATGAAAGTGTAGAATTTGGTGTTCCTTAATTGTGAAGAATGAATGTAAATCATGTTCTTAGTAAGGGATTATCCTTTTGTTTAGTCCTATTTACAGTTCAAAACAAAGAATTTCTATAAATGAGTTACAACTGCCCGGAGCACATTTATTAGGATTATTGCAGAGGTGGGTTATTGATTGAAGGTTGAATTTTGAAACAAACAAAAAAAAAATATAAAATAAGTTTGAAGTTTACTTGTGCAGTACAATTGATACCGTTTGTGTTATTATGCGAATATTTATAACTTTCAAATTACAAAAAAATAAGCATTTGCTAAAGAGAAGAAAAAGAAAAAACTTTTAAATAAATTAAACCAACTTTTGAATTTCCCATTAAAAGCATTTTCATTGAACATTTAAACTCTGACTAGTTAATTAAGTAGTATTTGATGTAAAGAGCTGGAATAAAATTGGCTGTGCAATACAATTTGATTTTGAATTTATTAAATTGAACTGTAAATAAACAAAAAGATAATTCCTCACTGAAATATTACATAATTTACACACATAGTCACAATTTCTACCATTTCATTGTAACGTTGTGTCATCTAACGTCTAAAACACAAATTATTAAAATTTCCCAATATAAAAGTTAGTCCTTACATCACTAAGATCACTACATAAATGAAATGCCTAAAAGGGAAGTCATCCATTAATTATAAACTTTGCACTGACAATGAAACAAATTCTTGAATAAAAGCAATCAGGAGATCTTTTAAGCCTTGAGCACTTTACAATATTCTAAGTTTGTAAGAGAATGATAATCCCTTTCATCATGATAAGTACTCGCTTACGCTCGTACTTAATCATGAAGAAAGGGATTATCATTCTCTTACATATACGTAGTTTCATAGTAGACTTAGCGATCGACCTTCGTCTCTTTGGTACTATCTTCGCAACACGATAAAAATATAAAATGTACAGATAACTACAGAGCAATTAAACTCTTAAATCGAAATGTGTGATTCTATGAATTTTACAAATTACCCTGAAACACTTACGTTTTATTGTTTTCCCGGAAACATCTACCATCTTTACATACGGTGTAAATAAAGATATCAAAAAGAAGTAAAAGCGAACGACTATCTAACACCATAATTACAGAGTTAACAGGAAGTTTTTCAAAGTAAAGGTTATGTTTCTATTTTATCCATCATGTTTTACATGTATAAGGAAGTATCTTATTTAATCCGGAACATAACAGTCCATTGTATGGAGGACAATTAGAATAATTAAAATTGAACTCAGTAAATATGTACAAAGTTAATAAAACTTATTTCCGACAAAAACATAATTTGGTTTTGTGAAAATTAATTTGTTGAAGACTTTGTGACCTATAATTTGTTATATCCATATCATTTGAACTATGGTAAAAAGTCTCATTGGCAATAATTCCACATCTCCTTATTTTTAATTTTTTATATTCATCCGAGAATAAAAGCAAATAAAAAAAACCAAGTTGAAATCCCAAAGACTTATCAGTCAAACACAAGAGTTTATGTTTTGAAATTGAGTGTATAGAATTGTACAGATGATTGGTAAGGGTCATATACATATACATTATGTAACAATGTTTTAGATTTTAACGAGAGAAATTTATGTATTACTGAAAAATTATTACACCAGGGTTTTCGATATCACAAACTAGTCAAAACATTTACTAAATTTTATCATCGGTATAAGGACATCATTCGTAAATATAGCTCAACATGCAGACTTCTTATACGTTCAGGTATTTCACATCCAATTTTTTATGGAAATATTCTTTATAAAGCACAAAAATGTCAGTATTCACCTCTGAAACTAACAAAACCTTTAAATAGACTTATTAAGAAGGGATATAGTTACGATAAAGTTGTCAGGTCATTAAAGATTGCATATTTTGGCGTTAATATTGAATCACTTATAGGGTCTTTGCATCGACACTAAACACATTTATTTAAAAACCAGTTGTTGGCATGACACGGGTTATGTTCTTCTCATATATGTTATGATGGTATGATACTTAACCCCTAACGGGAAGGATTGTGCCTGATATTCATATGATGAAGACATAATCTTTCAATCAGTTTAATTGAAGTCTGGAGCTGGCATGTCAGTTAACTGCTAGTAGTTTGTTGTTATTTATGTATTATTGTCATTTTGTTTATTTTCTTTGGTTACATCTTCTGACATCAGACTCGGACTTCTCTTGAACTGAATTTTAATGTGCGTATTGTTATGCGTTTACTTTTCTACATTGGCTAGAGGTATAGGGGGAGGGTTGAGATCTCATAAACATGTTTAACCCCGCCGCATTTTTGCGCCTGTCCCAAGTCAGGAGCCTCTAGCCTTTGTTAGTCTTGTGTTATTTTTAATTTTAGTTTCTTGTGTACAATTTGGAGTTTAGTATGGCGTTCATTATCACTGAACTAGTATATATATTTGTTTAGGGGCCAGCTGAAGGACGCCTCCGGGTGCGGGAATTTCTCGCTGCATTGAAGACCTGTTGGTGGCCTTCTGCTGTTGTCTGTTCTGTGGTCGGGTTGTTGTCTCTTTGACACATTCCCCATTTCCATTCTCAATTTTATTACAATTTCATCTTTAAAAGTTTGCATGTACCGAATAATTTGCTGTAGTATTGATCGGATGCAAATAAACAGAAGTGTCCTAGCAAGCATTAAATATCATAAGTCCGATATTGTAAAAACAGCAATTCCATGACCAAAAACGACGAAATGAAAACCACAATAACAATCACATAGAAAAAATAAAGACTGAGCAACACGAACCCTTTTAAAAACGGGAGGGGTGGTAAACGATACTAACCGTTCACTACTAGGGGTTCTGGCACAGTGGTAGTAAAACAAATATACTTTATGTTTTTAATTTTTTCTTTTTAGAAATTAAAAAGCGGGTTGGTGAGGAATTAAAAGTAAGACATTAGGGAAAGAAAGACTACCTCGTAACCAAAGATATCGACCAAATTACGAACAATAGTTACACTAGTAGTCAACAAATAGTACACAGAAATCAAACGATTTTATTGGAATCTAATCTATTATACTTAGTTGTTATCATGTATGGCTCTATTTCTATTCCGCCGATTATATGTAAATCAAACCTACTGAAGTGCTCTTCTGGATTAGTTTCATCGTAAACTGAATATTCAGAAACCCAAGGAATTCTGACTTTCCAATTAAAAATATCACGTCTCAGCTTCATTTTGTAAACTTTTGTTATTTCTGTCCATTTTTTCAACTTTAACTTTCAAATTAATCTCAAATTCTGTTTTCGTGACCTCAGTATCTTATTTGATAACATAACGGCCTGACATGACATGCTGAACAAATGCTCGTTTTATACTTTTATACTTTTATCATTTATGATTTTTTTTAAATAGTTTCAATTGTTGTCTATACCTTATATCTTTATCTTCGGGTCCTTAGATAAGCGAATTGCTTCTACTGACCCCTTCATCTTTGAATGTCGTAATGCAATTTCTCATCGCATAATAATATATTTATATATATTATACTTATCAAAAAATAAAACTTATTTATGTGTGCGTAGCTTAACAATTAACACGAAAATATAAATTTATACGGGTTCCAATTTTCGCCATTTAAAGCTGACTTAAAATTATTGAAAGTCTTTGCCGTCACTGTTAAATCTGACAGGTTATTCCACTGATCCACTACTCTAATTGAACAAGACAGTATTTAATATATGTGTCGTCTTACACTGTTTCTTAAATAGTTTTAAAGAGTGACCTCTAGTATTATTAGATGGTGCTAAAGTAAAAAGGTTCATCCGGTTGATATCATCTATACCATGTAACGCTTTGTAGACTTGTATCATGTACATGTATTGCTTTGTAGTGGGTCGTCTGTCTTCTTTTCGGATGTAGAGTTTTTGCATCGTTCTATAGATTTTCACATATTGTCGTAATCTTCTATGATGAAAATTACTTCGGTACTCTTATGGTTTCTATCCATGCACTCATACAACATCTTCTTATATCTATTTGAATGCATTAAAACAAATTTTAAAAATACGTGTATTTTTTATCACCATTTTGTAGTATTTTACATACAGAATTTCAATATTCATCATATTTCGTAATCTAGAAGTCTTTTTCAAGTTTGCCTTTTTAGTCTATTCTAAAGTTTTTATAGCATTATTTTTCAATAACGAAAAGGAGAAGGACATGCTATTTCAGTTTTCGGACAGGAATAAATTAAATATGAATATAGGAGATGCGGTATGATTGCCAATAAGACATCTATCAACCAGAGTCCAATTGACATTGATGTAAGGGAAATATCCATTTAACTCTGGAGAGGGTTATGATTTTTTTTCTATAAAAAGATTCCCAACTTTGAAGAAATAAATATTTTGATCAACTTGAACAGTTCTCAAAAATAAATTGTCAAACGAGATAACCAACAGTCTGACAGAACAATTAACAGATAGCAACCAAAAACAACCAATCAATTAGAGACGCCTAATTTGGGACTGGCATATAAAGAATATGTAGGGGTCAAGTATATTTGTAAGTGCTCAATACATCATCTCACCTTGGACAATGGCGTAACAGTACAACATCAGAACAAATTGTAAAAATAAATTTAACTTGATAGTATTGCTTTACTTAACATATTCGAACGAAAAACAAAAACATAGTTTTAGAAAATCATGACCATTTGCAATGCCAAGATATAAATTAAAAGTATTGACGGGATATAGGACCTTAAGTTTTTATAACTGTATAACAATATAATGCTCATATTTAGGTAATATGCTTTAATGTAGCAAAACAAAATCAATGTTAGTACAGGTAATGCAATGTTCAAAGATCTTACTACGATGTTAAATCTATTAACCTTTAAGAATAAGTTTATTTGAAAGATCAATGAGTTCACATGAATGGTCATATCTAAGTTAACGTGCTCTATAAACAACACCAACGTAAAAATTAGAATTCAAATTATTTTTGAAGCCCCATGTTTATTACGGGCAAAGGTCAATGATTGATTTTCAACACACACAAGGTGTTCTTCTGAATTTTTGTGTCTTTGGGTTGCTGTCTCATATAACATCTCCAGTGATTTCCATTGACATAAAAAAGATTGTCTTTCTTTTTCGTTTGAGGAGGATAGGAGGGACTAAATAAATAATTCAAACTGTGGATATACATTTATAGGTAAATTAGATATATATTTATCTTAAGTATCATTTTGAAAATGTGTGTAAAAGAGAAAACATTTAAACCATTTCTGGTAAGGTAATCTCTCAAGATAATTGATCATGTCAAGATGTAACATCTTTTATTTAAATGTATATATTTTTGAGAGTGGTTTTAACAAGTTGTCAATGAATATTATGGACGTTCATTGCATACTTAGTATATGTAAGAGAATGATAATCCCTTTCTTCATGATTAAGTACGAGCGTAAGCGAGTACTTATCATGATGAAAGGGATTATCATTCTCTTACAAACTTAGAATATTGTAAAGTGCTCAAGGCTTAAAAGATCTCCTGATTGCTTTTATTCAAGAATTTGTTTCATTGTCAGTGCAAAGTTTATAATTAATGGATGACTTCCCTTTTAGGCATTTCATTTATGTAGTGATCTTAGTGATGTAAGGACTAACTTTTATATTGGGAAATTTTTATAATTTGTGTTTTAGACGTTAGATGACACAACGTTACAATGAAATGGTAGAAATTGTGACTATGTGTGTAAATTATGTAATATTTCAGTGAGGAATTATCTTTTTGTTTATTTACAGTTCAATTTAATAAATTCAAAATCAAATTGTATTGCACAGCCAATTTTATTCCAGCTCTTTACATCAAATACTACTTAATTAACTAGTCAGAGTTTAAATGTTCAATGAAAATGCTTTTAATGGGAAATTCAAAAGTTGGTTTAATTTATTTAAAGTTTTTTCTTTTTCTTCTCTTTAGCAAATGCTTATTTTTTTGTAATTTGAAAGTTATAAATATTCGCATAATAACACAAACGGTATCAATTGTACCGCACAAGTAAACTTCAAACTTATTTTAATTTTTTTTTTTTTTTTGTTTCAAAATTCAACCTTCAATCAATAACCCACCTCTGCAATAATCCTAATAAATGTGCTCCGGGCAGTTGTAACTCATTTATAGAAAGTCTTTGTT